CTTGTCCAATTAGCCATATGTCCAAATCCGATAGTTTCGTCATCTGCCGAATTCCAAATTGCCGAAACTTAGTTTGGGATTTGCCGTAATAGTCCCAAATAGCAATTATATTTGTCGCCATATGAAAGTGACATTAACTCCGATGAAAAAATTTTCATCATATGTAGGGATGGTAAAAAAACATTTTCATGTTTTAAAACGGTGAAGTGTTTTTTTTTACCATCCCTAATCATCGGCAAAATCCGAAATCCCGATCAAAAGTTGGCGTATCCGTAATTTGGTGCCGAAACAATTTGGGATACATCACTAGCTGTACTGTATGTTTAGAGTTCTGTTAATGGGTAATATTTTTTTAATATACGAGAAGTGGTAAAAAGTGGTTTCTTAAATGAACTTGGGAGAAATTACAGTTGTAAATACCCCAAACCGATTTTTTCTGCTGCGACTCTACAAGTGGATAAGAAAAATTCCGAGATGTACAGGTATTCTGCAGTGATTAAAGGTCACGTTTGTTATTAGTTAAAAATCTATTGTTTTCTTTAAATACGTGCTTGAGACAGTCTAACCAATCAAATGATCTCTAAGCACGGCCCATAGATTTTCCGATTTTAAAAAATCTAGCGCTAGTGCAAAAAAAATCATAGATGTAAATCTCTTTATCAAACCATAAATGGGAGGCGTGTGCCAAGTTTTTGGTCACCACCCCTAAAGCATTACGTAATATATATGAAAATCATTCCTAAATATTTATTGTTTTTATCCATGCATTTATTATATAAATTGTGTAAAAAAATTTTTTTTTTTTTACTCAATGGACCCTTTTATAATTTCGAGTTCGATATCTGATTCTGCTCTAATTTCTTCACCTGAGACTGTTCTTGATATAAAGTCATCATCAAATACAAGTTTACCTATAAGATCACAAACACCCGTTTCTGAGTATCCTCCCGCTGTAGCACAATCTAGTGCAGTTCATGGTTCAGAATCAACATTATCACTTCGTATATCAGCGTGTCCTACGAATGCGGAATTACCACAGCAACCAGATTATTATACAGTAGGAGATCCTTTATCTTTAGGTCCTAAACGAAAATCAGAAGAAGAAATAAAAAAGAGCAGTAAAAAACTTCAAGCATTTTATCGTGATCAAAATGATCTTATTGATGAATTATTAAGGCCGATAGGTAATAAACAATCTATTGAAGAAATAAATAGTAACATCTTAAGGGTATGTTAACATTACTTATTTTTTATTATCTTAAATAATAATAATATTATTATTATTATTATTGTTTTTTAATATCTTAAATAATAATAATATTATTATTAATATTATTATATTATTCAATTTATTTACCAAAATTTTCGATTATCAAAGTTAAAAATCGCCGTTAATGGTTCTATGGCTGTCAACATTATATTATTCGCACTTCAACTATATGCTGCAATCAGTACTGGATCCCTTTCTCTCTTTGCGACAATGTCGGATTCATTTATGGATTTATTATCGAATGCTATATTGTTATTCGCAGGGAAAGCTGCTAATGTAAAAAATATTTTACAATATCCAACAGTAAGATTTTGTTTCAGTTTCCCTAATAGAAAAAAAAAAAAAAAGGGGTAGAATTCTTAATGGAAATTTATAGAATCAAAATGAATTAATTCAATTTAATTATAAGGAATATTTAATATAATTTCGTATTATATGCGGAATTCAGTACAGTCAGATCAATATAATGCTTATAAATTTTTACCTCTCTAAATGCATGTTTGACTAAATTTTTACATATAATTTCGTCGCTGTGCATCTAGAGAGGCCCAAGTGGCGATGTGTATTTAGGGGTTGCATTTAGGAGATCTGACTGTACATAATATATCTGGAGAAGTGATATGGAGTTGATCAATAAAAGATATATTCCGTATAAAAAATAGGAGTTTACGGTAAATTTCGGATGTAATATGTAATTATTCCATCATTACAATATTAAAAACTTTTAATATTTTTAAAAGTGCGAAAATTCTCTCCAATCTTATAATTAAATAATTTGGGACTAAGATTCCACACATTTGTCATGATTTATAAAATTCCATTAAAAATTAGCGTCATTTTTTTTCCGCATGACTTTTAATTTTATTCTAAATCTATTGTATGTGTAGGGTAAATCACGTGTGGAGACTGCCGGTATTATAGTATTTTCCTCGTTGATGACAACCGTGTCAATTCAACTCATTGTAAGTTATTTAAACGCCTATTAATTATTAAATGTATCGTTATCTAACTTTAATAATCATCATAGGTAGAGGCTATTAAAACATTTGTTGCTAAAGGAGAGAGTTCAAAAGTTACTTTACTTCCTATAATATTTATTATTATTGGCTTAGGTATTTCTAATGATTCAATTCACAATTATGACCTAAAGTATTGCATCACACAATTAAATTTTCGGTTTTTTTTTTTATACAATAAACGTACCAAAATTGAAATTTTTACGCTATATGAGGGTTTATTCTCTTTTATAAAAAAAGGAGACCTTCATATAGTATTGAAACAAAAATTTCAATTATTCAATTTATTTGTTTATTATAAAAAAAAAAAAAAACTGTATACAATGCGTCACTAAGTTTATGAATTTAACGTCGAATCTATATAATCTATTTAGCTTCTAAGACCGTACTTTCAATTTATTGTTGGACACAGCGTCAATTTCCACCTGCTCGTATTCTCGCACAAGATCACCGAAATGATTTGGTTATCAATACATTCGGTTTAATTATGGCATTGTTAGGTACACATATTGTGTGGTGGATAGATCCTCTCGGTGCTATAACTATAGCATTATTTATTCTTTGGAGTTGGATAAATACTGCTTATGGTAATTCCAATTTACATGACAGATATATAAGAATATATATATTATTTACAAGCTAATCGTTTATTCGTATTTAATTGGCCAGAACAAATAAAGTTGATTGTTGGTAAGAGTGCAGATCCTGGATTCTTACAACGTGCTACATATATCGGTAAACATTCTAAGCACAACTTAAAACATTTTCTTTCAAAACTATTACGATTACGTTTACTTAGAGGAAAATCTTATTTATTGTAGCATTAACACATCATCCAAAAGTTCTTCAAGTTGATACATGCCGGGCTTACCATGCAGGTTCTAACCTTTTTGTGGAAGTAGATATTGTTATGGATAGAGAAACACCTCTTTGGGAAAGCCACGATATTGGTGAAAGTCTTCAGATCAAATTGGAAAAACTAGCGAATGTGGAAAGAGCATTTGTACATGTTGATTATGAGACAAGCCATAAGCCTGAACATCAAAAAGAAGAATGATCCAAAATTAATAATAATAATAATAATAATAAATAATAATAATAAGTGCTTATAAAAAAAGTATGAATAAATTTTATTAAGGGTCGTTATTATGTAAATAAAGTGCATCAATTAGTTTTACATTTCACTAAATAAATATTTAAATATTAAGTTTTGGATTCACTCTTCCCATTTCCCTATCTTTTTTTTTACGAAGGTTAGAAAGAATTTTATCTTTTCTTTTTTCCCTAAATGCTTATATATGATAGCTTTCCATAACAAAGACTTATTGCAATATAAAAAAATTCTCTATTTTGTCTATTTTTATAACCATGTTTTCTATGTTATAATTGTACTATTTTCTTATTTAACTACTGTATAACATAACCAAATAATCTCATTAAAAATTTTTTTCTTTACTATAATGAATTTCACACGAAGCAGTATTCCTTTAGAGACATCCTTTTTTCTTATGAAGCATGGGTTTCAGTATGCTGAGGCCACGCAAAGTTAATTTTTTTAAAAAAAAATCTATAAATTAATAGAATTATGGTTGGCAGTATGTTGGCTCTGTCGGATAATTCCGGGATGTCGCGGGCTCCATCGGGTGATACCGGATAAATGGCAGAAAAAATAAATAGCAAAAATCGAATAAAAAATATATATATATATTTAGAAAAATTGAAAAAATGGGACGGCGGGTAACGTAAAACGAAAAATTGGAATTGTCTAATAGGAAAATTATATGCAGATTTTTATAATCACAAATTTACTTCAATAAACAGTACAAACAGAAAAAATAGTATCATGCACATTGAATAACAGAAGAAACTTTTTATGTTTTCATCCTGTATGGTACATAACCATCGGACCTCGCTTCAGATGGTTCTACTGCTTTCATTTTTTCATCGGACCTTCTCTCACGTTCACGTCTACGTTTCTTAAGCCAAACGTCGCGTCGAGATATATGAAGATCTTTAATACATCGAAATATCATTGCATTTGGAGCGATGATATTCTTATCTTTCAAATATTGCCGAAATCGAGGAAAGTGCATATTAACTACATATGGTTTTATTTCTGTCCATGTATATTCTCCACTTTTAAATTTCCTTGATGGTTTTTCTTCAATGTAAGAAAGTAATTGATTCTAAATCGATACAATAAAAATTACTTAATTGATAAATCGAGAATCGTCAAAACAAATATATATTTTTATATAATTTCTTACTTTTACAAGTTTAAGTAAACTTTGATCTGCTTTTTTTTCATCATATTCATCATCCGAAAAAATATCAGCATCCTCATCTCGTTTGTATGAATTTTTACTCGCCTTAGACTTGATCGCTAATTGACGACTTTTTTTATCACCATTTGAAGAGGTAGATCCACTTTCATGATTCATTGTTTGAGGTTGACAATCGGCAACAGATGAATTTATTTTACACGACGATTGAGATGTCAAATTTGTAAATTGACGTGGCCTATGTGTATGTTCTACTCGATGTGTAGATTTTTGAACGTGTGTAGTGTGATTACCCGATATAGTTTCATGTTTGATCACTATCGGATCGCCTTTTACTTCATGAAAACTCCCAAGTGCCTGGTTATGCTTAATTGATACACTAGTGGAACTAACACGTGTTGATAAAGGTGGTTCTTCAAAAGGTGGTTCTGAAAAAAATAAATATAAATATAAATATAAATATCGTTTTTTCGTGAACGCGAAACGCATGCACGCACATACGCGTGTTTATCAATTATCAAAAAAAATTGTATATAATATATATTGTTATCACGACTTTAAAAAATAAAAAAAAATAAATAAAAAATAAAAATTACTTGATATTTTTCTGTAAACACCGGAATTTCGAATTCCATTAAGCATGATTACAACTTTTTGACCATCATCTGAAGTGGAAAATCCAGAAAAACAAGAATTACTTTCTTTTTCCATTACTAAGAGAGAAAGGCTGATTTTTTTTTTTTTTTTTTAAATATCACCCAAGTAACAAACAATAAATCAAGTTTCTTCAGATAGCAGGTCAAACAGACTCTATTTATACTAATTTGATGATTTGTTTACCACCCAAATTTATCAATTCATTTTTTTCGGAAACTTAACCCCTTTGGTATGATCGTACTGACTATTACTACAAATAGACAAATCGATTAATCATCCCTGAAGCACAAAGAATTTTTTTTTACGTAGTACATACATATTATATACGTATGTACGTGTATACATACGGCACAATTACTACGTATATAACAGTATAACTAAATGTTGTTGTGACATAATTAATATATACAGTAATATAATATATACAGTATATATAATATATATATATAATAATATATATATAGTAAAATGATTCAATTATTTAACCGTTGACGTACGTACGTACGTACTAAACTTATTTTATTTTCACCTAATTGTTGTATATAAAGGGCAACTGGGACATTTTTACATGAGAACAAAGTCAAAAAAAAAAAGGTCGCGGAACAATTCTTCATATGAATTCTATTGGTTAGAATCAATTCGCTAGATCTTTGTTTAAAATAAAAGATTGCTTATAATAATGTTTATTATTAGTTTCGCAGTCAATTTAAGTGAACTTTATCAGACTTTTTCTCCGATTAACCCGTAATGATTTATATATGATCAAAATACATATACAGTTGGCCGTTTCGATAACCCTTATCGTTTTGATCATAATGATACATCATTTAAGATCGGTGACTTTATTCAGTATTCTATTAAAATAATTACGTCAGATTATAATATTTAAAAACCAAGTCTGATATAGTGAAAATCCATTATTAATTACGGGGGTTTTTTTTCTTACCATCATTTATTTATTTATTGATTTTTAATATTAGAATATTAATACTTATCAGATAATATATATCTAGTGTTATTGAATGTGAAGCAGACAATAACGGCGTGATTTGAGTGCTCGAGAGGAAAACCAGCAAATAAAAATTTATCCCTGAAGAATTGTGATATTGTGTAATTGATCACATATACGATCAGTGCTCTAATCATATAACATATCAATACTCAGATAATGTCTGATATTGATATGTTATAACTGAAATGACCAGAACAGTGTTTAAATGGACATGTTCGTTGGTAATTGTCACATCTTTTTATTATGCTATTTATCACATTGAACAATAAACAATATAATAAAAGGATGCGACAATTACCAATGAACAAGCCGTTTAACAACACTGGACCAGAGCATATGTGATCAAAATATGTAAAATCATAATTCTTCTCATTTGTAGAATAAATCCGGTTTAAAAATTTCTACCCGTGACCCGTCGGTACCCGCCGGTTACCCGATTAAACCGGGTTACCTAGATACCCGATTATCTCTAGTATCGAACTCATAAAGGATGGTTGTTGACTAATCAAATTTAGAACTGGCAAAACTTTATATTAGTGAACCTACATATCTGATATATGGTCTTGACTAAAAGATGCTGGTGAAATAAAATTAGAGTGGTGAAATAATTTTACCACCATTGGTCAAGTTGGTGCTGATCATAAGTATCGACATGATTATCATTTAACATCTAAACTGGTTCGTTAAAAAATGACCAATCACTAGATAAATTAATAATATTTTGGCGTGTTAATGGAAAACGTAACTTGTGCAATTAAATTAATGCTAATTATACTTTTCCATTAAAATCAAGTCTTGTGAAAAAATTATTATTTCATATTTTCATCATAAAATATTGGAGTCCATTTTTTTGTAGAATATTCTAAGGTAATACAAAATAATTGAATATTTATACATTTCATTGTGTAAAAATAGGAATTTCGGTTTGTATATAGACTGCAGGATGTTATTAGTGTGTAATCCTTATTAAAATAGCAGATATTAAATATCTATTAAAAAGTATACTATTCGAAAGTTTCAAAAAACATCTAAAAAGCATTTTGAGTGCTTTGATAGGATTAGTTTAAGTGAAACCACAATATAAATATTTCAAATATTAATTAAATTTTACCTTTTTTATATAGCATTTCAACAAGTCATTTTTATATTTATTTATTACAGTATTTAATTTTAGCATATGAATATAATATATTTATATCGATATATATATATATATATTATTAATTAATCTAAGTATTTAATTCAAAATCATCCCGCTTAAAGAATTGCCTGACCTGACATATTGTCAACTTTGTAAATCTTTGACTTACAGAGTGACAAAAATCAAATCACGTACGTACATACATGTGTTACGATTCACTAAACTGAGTCCCGTACGTACGCACGCTTGCTTAACGTTATATTACGATTACACAAAGATTAGTAACAAAACAAACATTGTCGTTGTGTTTTCATATGGCATAAATACATGCGCCTTATAAAGTTTTTTTTTTTTTCTTTAACAAACTTTGTCAATAATTCATATTTGTAATTTTTAACGGTACATATTTACCTAGAAATTTTTCAACATGGCAGAGAGAATCGACCAATTCCAGGATTATCAAACAAAATTATCAGAAATATTATCAATGAATCCATTTATAAAGGAATTAGAGGAACAAGCTAAAACTATTGAACATTTACGTCAAAGAATTGATCAATTAGAATCATCTAACATCAATCAATCAAATATATATCCTTATTCGAATTATCAATCTAGTTTCAATAATCATATTGATTCGACTGACGATGATTTAAAGGATGAAATAAAATCTCTTAGAGAAAGAGTTTTTGAATTGGATGCGGATTTATTAATTCAAAATAAAGAAAGTCAAGCTCAAAAATATGAAATAGAATCATTAAGAAAAGAAAATGATGAAATTAAACAACAAATATCTAATATCCTTGAGATGATCTCTTATCAAAACTTGCCCTTGAAAGAAAAAGAATTTACTAAACAAACAACTGAAGAAATTAACGAGAAAGAATTACAATCGAACGAACCGATAAGCACAGGTATTATTAAAAATTATTAAAATTATTATAATTCTTTATACAATAATTTCTGTAGCTAAAAAATATTTATTGACTCCATTAAGATACAGACGATGATTTTTATGTAAAATCAAGCAGAATGCCTCTTAAATCTAAAAGAAACAATGTAACTAGGGATATTCAAATACCAATGTCACCATATCATTCTGATAAACCAAAAGATATGTCTGTTCCTACGAAAAGTAATCCTTTAACACCAACATCACCAACATCACCAACACTCAATCCTCACACTGAAAGACGACTCGAAGTTTTACCAGAAATATTAAAACCTGTATTTCATAATAATTCTCAATATATTCCAAGTCAAATTCATAAACGTTCACGTTCAAGAAGTGAAACTCGTTCATCTCTACCATCTCAACCACAACCTGTTCAAATTAATACCCCTGTTTCACCCAAAAGACCTTATTATCATCAAAAACTTACTTCCAATAACAGTTCTGCATCTTCCCAATCAATAAATAATTATTTGTCTGATGATGATAGTGAGGATAATAAGTATGTTGGTGAACAAAATATTATAGAACATAGTTCAAATATCGATCAGAGTAGAGAAGAAACCATTACTTCACATGATGATTTATGTAAATGTAATAAGTGTGTTGCTGCTCAAATGAGAGAAATTGAGTTCTATCGAAGTAAATTGCGAGCAAACAGATAACTTAAATTACAATATTAAAAAAAAAATATTTTTTAATTACTTTATCTAAAAGAATATTTAAACATATATAATGTTTATGAGGTAAATATATTGTATATTCAATGACATCTATTTAAATACCACATTATTTATCTTTTATGTATGTTTTATGATACAAATTATATTAAATTTTTTTTGATTGTAAAAATTCTTTCATATGCAAAACAAAAAAGAAATTGTATCAATAAAGTGTAAACCTACACGTATTTATGACATCTATAAGGAAAAGGTGTCTTACTACTGTATTACGTATTAAAAATAATTATAAATAATAATATTAATAACATTAGTATATTACTATTGCAAGAATTTGAAACCTTATTAATATTAACAATATATATATATTGCTTTTCGTAGATTATCATAAAACAAAACTTCCTTAAATCGGATAAGTAGTCTATGTCTAATGTCACGGGTGAAATAAAAATCAAAACCACTAAATTTAAAGGCAATTCGCCAGAGGTGTGATGTGATGATTTGGCAAATACCCTTATTTTAAGAGAATTTTTGTATTTATTACTTTATTGTTTGATTATAGAGAATTAAACCTGAAGGTTTTGGAGTTTTACAAAGGGAAAAAATACATATCTTTTATAACTTTACATCAATATAGGGACGCAGGGGCTTTGATAATTTATTTATACCTTTCCCTGCTATTAAGTGATCTTTTTTTTTTGACATTGGGATTTTCTCTTAAATTTCTATAGTACCAGTATAACCTTGAATTACGAAACTTACTATGGGCTTTTGTGTTCCAAGCTGGTTTTACCATTTTAGGCAGTGACAAGTAAAAAAAGTTTCGCGTAATTAAGGCCAATGGTTAGGATAAAATATAGGCACGGATCAAACCCGGATTTTGTGCGTAAGAGGTTTGAGTTGGCACGATTGGTCCGTTTATGACTAGTCCAATTGTCCCGGGCTTTGGCAAAACATGTGGATTTATAATAATCAATAATATGAACAAATCAACTGCATATTTAGTTAAGGGATTTTTTTTGTTAAGACACCCAGAGCAATTTCATCAGCGAAACTGAGATATCGTAATTTTTTAATTCTTGATCTTTCGCTCTCCGTGAAACGAGCCAACACGTACTCCTTTAACGTGTCATTCCGTGAAATGAAGGTGCCATTCCGTATAACGTGATTATAGGGAGGTGGCTTCCTAATTAAAATTTGTTTATTTTGTAAAAAAGTGGCTTCGTTTCGATTTTTACGCTACACCTAACTTTCTGTGGTGCGCTAGGGGTTGTTAAATTATGTATCAGGAAAGTACATAAGTAGGATTAAATAATTTATCAATTATTTTTGTAAAAATAAACTGAGTAAACTTATATAGATATAGCTTTCAATCATTAATTATTAGCCAAGCGGATAAACCAATAAAAATTTACGGCGTAGTAATTTAATTGGCTCGAATCAACAGGTAGTATGGGATCTTTGCTAGGAAAATCCCCTTCGGGATTGTCCGATTGGGCTAATTCAAAAAAAACCTAGACCAGAATGCCGGTTCTTATTCATATGTAAATCATCTTTTTACTTTACTAATTCAACAAAAATTAGCATTCTAATCTAAGCTTTTTCGAATTAGCCAATCAGAAAATCCCGAAGGGTGATTTTCATAGCAAAGATCCCATATGTTAATGCAAATGACTTTCGCAGACTTAATATTTAGTTTTAGATTTATAAATTTTTTTTTTTTTTAGTGTAGATGGCAACTAATACGTACAGTACGTACGGATTACTTGTTTGCGTCGGTGATACTAAGCCAAAGAAATCAAATGTACTTTACGTAAGCACGTGCGAACGTACAGTACTTGATATATTGTTTGACCAAATGTACAGTACTACGTTCAACATTTAATTGAAATTAATTCTTCTCGTACAGCATATATGTTTTGGATATGATACAAAAGGCAATAACCCACATGTGAAATTATTAAAATCACTAATGCTTTTAATCAACTGAATTCATCGATTATCAAAAATCAGCTGATATGAATGATTCGGATGGCTTGGTTATTGTTACGAATATGGAATTGGAGCTGAAAAGGATGAGAATAAGGCATTCGTTCATTATCAAAAATCAGCAGAGATGAATAATCCTAACGGACTATATCAAGTTGGTTATTGTTATTATTTAGGAATTGGAGTTGAAATAGATAAGCATAAAGCGTTTATGCATTATCTAAAATCTGCTGAGGCTGGTAATACTATGGGAATTTGGAAAACTGCCATCTGTTACTATTACGGAGTTGGTGTGGAAAAGAGTGAAGACAAATATCGTTATTGGATTATAAGGTATTTTAATTTTTATTAATACATTTGAGTTTTACGTTAAAATTAGAAATTTTTAAAAGCTATTTAATCCTTTAGGGAGTAAGTATAATTATCAATTATGAATTATAAAAATCATATAGTTCACAGTAAATAAATACTCAAAATCGGTTTATTCAAATTAACTTAGTCCGTAAGTATAAAGAATTTATTAAACCAAGTATTTAAGATAAGCTATTACTATTTAATTTTATTCGTGTCAATTTAGTCTGTGAGTATAAAATTTATTAATCAAAGTATTTAAAATAAGCTATTCGAGTGCATGAATATTTATTATTTAATTTTTTTTTATTCGCATTAATTTAGTGTGTGAGTATAATGAACATTTATTAATATAAGTATTTAAAATAAGCTATTCAAGTTCATGAATATTTACTATTTAATTTTATTTATTCGCATTAATTAGTGGGTGAGTATAAAGAACATTTATTGATCTATTTAAAATAAGCTATTTAATTTTATCTTATTTAGTCGGTGAGTATAAAGAACATTTGTAATCAAAGTATTTAAAATAAGTTACTCATAAATATTTACTATTTAATTTATTTTATTGCGTTAATTTAGTGGGTGAGTATAAAGAATATTTATTAATCAAGATATTTAAATAAGCTATTTAAGTTTATATATTAAATTTTATTTTATGCGTAAATTTAGTTTGTGAGTATAAAGAACATTTATTAAGCAATAGTATTTAAGATAAACCATTCAAGTTCATGAATATTTACTATTTAATTTTATTTTATACGCGTTAACTTAGTCGGTGAATATAAAAAATATTTATTAATCTATTTGAAATAATCTATTCATGAATATTTACTATTTAATTTATTTTATTCGCGTTAATTTAGTCTGTGAGTATAATATTTATTAATCAATGTATTTAAAATAAGCTATTTAAGTCCATGAATATTTACTATTTAATTTTATTTTATACGCGCTAACTTAGTCGGTGAGTATAATACTTACTTGCGGAAATTTTACATTTTTGTGAAAGCGACAAAATATCCTAGGTAGTGTAAATTATTAATAATATTGGTCTTTAAGAGGAAATTTTCATAGCAAAGCATTAATTTAACTTCTTACTAGCACTATTAACAAGGTTTCGACGATGCTTTTTGACTGAGTATGAAAATTAGAAATTTTTCATACAGTACACAGTCAAAAAGCCTCGTCAAACCCTCGTTAATAGTGCTAGTAAGAAGCTAAATTAACCCTTTGCTATGAAAATTTCCTCTTAAAGACCTATATTATTAATAGTTTACATTAAATCTAGGATATTTTGTCGCTTTCACAAAAATGTAAGATTTCCGCAAAATATTAATCGAAATATTTAAAATAAGCTATTCAAGTTCATGAGTATTTACTATTTAATTTTATTTTAGAATGTGAGTATAGGAACATTTATTAATCAAAGTACTTAAAACAAGCTATTCAAGTTCATGAATATTTACTATTTAATTTTATTTTATTCGCGTTAATTTAGTCTGTGAGTATGAACACTTAGGCCACTCCAATTTAATTTTCTGTTTAACTTAACATAAAAGTGGCTTATGGCGGTGATATTAAAAAAAATAAATATGCAAAAAGTTAATACTACAATTTGATTGGCTAATATTATGTGATTTTTCATGCAAAATTTTAAAAAAATAGGGGTTATGTTAAACAGAGAATCAAATTGGTCAGGCCTTATTAATCTAAGTATTTAAAATAAGCTATTTAAGTTCATTAATATTTATTATTTAATTCGTTGATTTAGCCCGCGAGTATTAAAGAACATTAATCTAAATATTGTATTTAAAGTAAGCTATTCAAGTTCGTGAATATTTAATATTAAATTTTATTCGCGTCAATTAGTCAGTGAGCATAAAACAGTTAATGTTCGATGTAAAAGTCACATAAAAAATACAAAATAACTAATATAATACAATACAATTAATAATGATAAAGACGACCATACTATGGAAAATGTACACATTGTAATAAATATAACATGTGGAAGGAATGGTGTCAAACATGTGATCCTGACATAATAATTCGAGAATGGACAAGTGGAAATAAGGATATCGATAATTGCATCAAAGGGTTTCAACTTAGAACTATTAATTATAAATATATGTTTGAATGGATTCCATTTGATAGGCTAGATAATATTAAAAAAATTGGTGAAGGGGGATTTGGCTCTGTATTTTCTGCGACCTGGTTAGATGGTATACGAAAAATTAATGGTGGTTGGAGTAATTATACACGAGCACGTGAGTCATATAGCACTGTTGCACTCAAGACCTTATCTGTTTCAAAGAAAATCCTCATGATTTTTTGAAAGAGGTAAGTTAAATCGTTTTACGTTTTATTATACACATATTGAACTAATCCATTTCTATAAATTTACAAAGCTTGACAATCATGTGAAATGTAGTTTATACGGTAATAAGCTTAAGATATATGGATTGACTCAAAACACAGAAACAAATAGATACTTGATGGTCATTCAATTTGCTGATAATGGAAGTCTTCATAAATTTTTGAGAATGAGATTTCAAGATCTTATCTGGCAAATTAAATTAAAACTACTTAAAGATATTTCATATGATTTAAATGGAATTCATGGAGCAGGATATATTCATGCGGACTTTCACAGTGGTAATATTTTGCAACATGAAGACAATAGTAAAAGTCTGCAATCTTACATCTCAGATCTAGGGTTGTCTAAAAAGGCAGATGAAAATGACTCAGAAGATGGTATTTATGGAGTCTTGCCTTACGTCGCTCCAGAGATTCTATTGGGACAGAAGTTTACGTCAGCTGCCGATATTTATGGCTTCGGAGTCATTATGTCGGAAATGTCAACTGGACAAAGACTTTTTGATGATCGCCCATTTGATTTAAGTCTTTCATTAGATATATGCAGAGGATTGCAACCTGAATTTGCACCCGAGACTCCAGATTGCTACACTGAATTAGCTAAGCAATGCATGAACTCAGATCCACAAAAACGGCCCACTGCTTATGATATTTGGTCGAGACTTCGTGGGTGGAATAATTGCATGAAGGATTCAGATGCTGCAAATGAAATTAAAAAGCAATTCCTAGATGCAGATAAAATAATCAAAGAATTGCCAATTATCTTACCAAAACATCCAGACTCTATGTACACTAGTAAAATAATAATAAATACACAGAGAATATCAAGTGCAATTAAAGGTATTTATTTCAAAAAATTATGCTATATATTATTCATTTAAAACTAATTATGCTATATATTATTCATTTAAAACTAATTATGCTATAATAGTAACTTTACAAAGTAAACCTATCGATTCTGTTGAAGTTCCTTTTAGTAAGTGTTATGCTATATTAAGTTTACAGTATTTATAATTAGATAAATTTATTACTTATTTTACATTGTGATTTAGTTTAATTGTTTTAAAGGTATATCTATTTTTCATCATTATTATTTATAATTGCTTTACTGAATTTGAAAAATTAAGTAGTAGGCGTATTGCTAATGTATAGTAAATATATAGTAATAATAAAATAATTATATAGTAACTTTAAACTTAAAAAAATCAATAGTAGTAGGCGTATTGCTAACATATAGTTAATACAAAGAAAGTTTCTACTACCAAGCAACTATATAGTTATTTTATAGTTAATTGCAAATTGCTATTTTGCAAGTTTCAGTAAAGTGATTTAATATTAATACTTTGCTAAATACTGTAATTATTCAAAAGATATGCAGTTAAAGATTTTTAATTTATAAATTATTTTTTTAATTTTGTTTTATTTAAAATTAAATCTTATACTATCCTTGTACAATATTTTTTTTAAATTTTATATATCAATATAAGCATTATTTATGGTTAAAAATTTCCATATTTCTGTGCAGAATTTGTTGGTCATTCATTACATGATAACATTGCACTAATCGAACTTGTATGAATTCTACCGACCTATAGAGTTCGAAATCGTTTCTAAACACTAAAAAGCTGAGTCATACTTAAGATATCATTGTTCAAATGCTTACAGACTTAGGCAGCTAAATTATAAAGTTTGACTAAAGATATTTTAAGAATAACTGACAATTGTGGTGATAGGGCGGTTTCAAATTCTAAAGATTTGTTCTATTTTACAGAATATTTGCAATGTCTGCCAATGTCCTTATTCTCGTGCCGATTCTGAATATATAATTACAAAAATACTATTTCTGACAGGGTTTAGCCACTTAGCTTCTTAGCTGGCTGATAGTTTTATCAGCCAGTTAATCATAATACCATTGGCTAACTGCTTACCAGGGATGTTAAATGACTTGAAATGACCCAAATGACTAGTGACCAGTCATCGGGTCATTTAACATTCAAATGACTATAACGACTTTTAGACAATCAAATCTGATTGTTAGACATACCGTCAAAGTAATTTTAATCGATCTTAAGTTGTTCTGAACAACTTTACTGAAGATGTAAATATTTATTTTGACTTTGTGTGTAGCTTTTAGTAAAATCGCAGCGTTTGATAATTTTTTATATTTGCTATCTGGCCAATAAAATTACTTCATATGTAAATGACCTAAATAACCTAATGACCCAAATGACCAGGCCATTTATTCAAATGACTTGGTCAAATTTTGAATGAATGACCCGGTCATTTACCATCCCTGCTGCTTACAGTATCCCCCAAAATTCTTGGATGATTACGCCGTTTTGGAAACTGAACTTTAAGGATGAACTCTAAACCTTCGCGGATCAAGCTCTATTTCTTTCCATTCTTCATTGGGATCTGGTTCTATGTAATCTTCATAATACATCCACATCAATCACCAGTGGTATCTCGTTTTCTGTTACAAAACATTCCGAAATTTTATTTTAAGAGTATTACCAGCAAGGCGAATAGAATTCTAAATTTGAACAGTATTCCCATCCAATGTTTTTTGCACGATACACCTATAGCTACCACAACTAGTATTCAGAAATACTTTACGTTCACATTCTCTCTAGGAATTACCCACTCCAAATTAACGTTTTATGCCGTTAATGTGGTTAAGGCTTGTGCAACTAAGATATGGACACTGGTTGATGTGCGAATACTATTAATGCTTAAATCAATCCGTATATAACTACTCTTTTTGTAAGCATTTCCTTTTAAAATCGCACCCTTGTCGTTTTTTACATGTCCAATATTAGATGCCAATTTATCCGTATCCGCTATAGGCATCCAAAATTTTCCATGTTTGCTATTTATGAACTTTATTTTTTCAAATTCGAGAGGATCAGAGTGACACATTTATAAAAATAGCCAAAACGTATAGGCCAAATAAAGTTCTATCCACATTTCAGGCCTTATATATTTTTTTTTAAACTATGTCAAGTAGCATCTGAAAAATACATATTCATGTTTTGGTATATACTATGAACCGTGATCACGTAATACAAGGTTCAAAGCAAGTATATCAGAGACATATCTGATACATACCGGATCACAAATTTTCCTATTGATACCCGATATGCGCTAAAATCTGATTTATATTGGCAGGATATTAAAAAATATAAGAACAATCAGGTAGTAAACAAATATTTAGTAAATATCAGATACTCTGATATTCTGATATTTATTTCGACTTTTACTAAAACGCACCTATGGTGTTTTACACCTATGTATATATTATCTCAAAAATTGGCTAATTAATCAATACACGATATCCTAAGTAAAAATGCTCTACGCCCTAAAAACCCCTTCCCGAACTCTAACTCTAAGCTTAAATACTAACACTAACATGAAAATTTTGCGTTGAAAATTTTTATATTCAAAACTTAGAAAAATCTAAAAAACATTATAAAACATACGATAGGTGCAAAACCACCATAGGTGCGTTTTATAATAAATGTTTATTTCTACTTGATATTCTGATATTTTTAATATAGATCATTTTTGGCGCCAATAGTTGGCTATTAAGTACCCTATATATATGCTTTGGACCTGTGATATTATTTAGCAATTAGGATCGATATACGGTCAAATTAATACTTCACCATGCATTGGCAAGTAAAATTCGCACGTTGAAGACTACATACAGTCTAGTAAAATGCAGAAAGTATATTAAGTACGATATTGAATCAATTGTCAAACCGCACCGAAAAGGTTCCAATCCATTATATAATAGACCATGTTTCCGTTTAGATCCTAATAAATGACATATGGGGCTCTGAAGGTCTAGTAATTTGACTGGTTGCAGAAGTAACAGTTGGATTCGGAGAAATAGGATCCTGTGAATGATTCCAACAAATTCGATGCCTCATGTTCTCTGAATAAATCAATTTTGTTTATAGCATTGCTACGATCTGGTCTCGATTAAAGAATACCTAAAAGGTCCAAATCATATAAGCCAAGCTGTTGTATTCTCTCTAATAAAAAATTAATACAACTATACTTCAATCCAAATATCTGGTAGAGGACAAAAATTTGCAATAGGTTCAATCATTTGTGCATGTGTTGGCGTTTGGAATCATATGCCTACATCAGGCCGAAGCTGGCTGTTTCTAAATCATACATATCATGTTAATTTCTATGAACCAATCTGGTCTTTGCACTTTGTACGAATTTGCTATTCGACGATGATTCTCCACCGTCAAACTGATACAAAGGTTGTTAATATAAATAACATGTAGGTATAATGAAACTTACTTTAATAAATAGATTATTACCAATAATTTCAGCATCGTATTTTGCGTTTATTGCGTCGCGCACACCAACTTTATTAAGTTCATTGGCAGGAAGAGAAATCTTGACGACATCACGAATTTGATTTCTTTTTAATGATTTTTCAATCTGTGTTAAGATCCATTATTATGGTCGTTAGTCGTATCGCTCACCGTTGTGCTGATTTTCTCAAACGCCATTTAAATACCTCATAAATTCGGGAAGTTGTTGTTTGTCTTCAATTAGATGTTTCTGAGTTTATTATTTCAACATTCATTCTAAGATGTTTAGGGAGTGAATTAACAATCTATACTACTAAGATTTGGTTGTGTGTCTGTCCTCTGCAATTTGATTGGCTTTTGATGGGTACCATATATACTATAGTATATGGAAAGTTATGCGATGTTTGACCTTTTTGGCTATAAGCTTTATGCTATATTTGACCTTTTTGACTAATATTTAGAAAATAAAATTTTAGAAAATAAACTTTATTTTGAAGAGCCTAAAGAACTCTAACTTAAGAAATTGTTTATTCGAATTAGATCATTATATGGCTGACATGTTTGAACTGTATTTGCAAATTCTAATTTATTTCATAGCCATACAGTTTTTGTTATGCCTGTCTTTTGCATTAATAGGCTTTATGTGATTTTTAACCTTTTGGCCATTAATTTAGAAAATAAACTTATTATTTGTATTCGAATTGGATCATTATATAGTTGACATGTTTAAGCTGTATTTTCAAATTCTAAATCAATAATAATGGAAAATTATTTTCATAGCCGTATAGTTTTGGTCTTTCTTTCTTAGTGTTATACTTTATTTAACAACGGCAATCTATCTATACTACTAAGATTTGGTTGTGTGTTTGTCTTCTGCAATTTGATTGGCTGTTGATAATAATGTAACATATATCATATATACTATATACTATATACTATAGTATAAGAAAAGTTATGTAGCATTAATTCAATGTTTAACCTTTTTGGCTATTATTCAGAGCCTAGAGAACTCTAACTTAAGAAATTGTTTATACTACTAAGATTTGGTTGTGTGTCTGTCTTCTGCAATTTGATTGGCTATTGATAATAATGTGACGTATATCATATATACTATATACTATAGTATAAGGAAAGTTATGTAGCATTAATTTAATGTTTAACCTTTTTGGTTATTATTCAAAGTCTAGAGAACTCTAATTTAAGAAATTGTTTATTCAAATTATATCATTATATGGTTGACATGTTTGAACTATATTTGCAAATTCTAAGTTATTTTCATAGCTGTAAAGTTTTTATATCTATGTTATATACTATAATATAAGAAAAGTTATACAGTATCAATAGGCTTTATGTAATGTTTAACCTTTTTGGCTACTTATTTAGAATAAACTTTTTTTTTGCTTAACTATATAACTATCACTGTACCTGAACTAAATATTAATCATTTATATTTTTATAATATATACAGTACACTCGAAGCTTTAAAATATCATTTATGTATATATATTAGGGTTGAGGTATGAGGTTAAGAGGCATGCTCTTTAACCAAAAGGCATGCCCCTATTATGTAATTTAGAACTATCATATAATTAGTCAATTTTGTAATTACCCAATCAGAACTAAAACTTATTAATGCTAATTATGATAATTTATAATTTATATATCTATAGAGTGCACCCAGGGTATGCTATTGCAAAGGCATGCCCCTTAAACATGCTACAAAAATTTGCCATGCCCCAACCTAATATATATATGCTATCTTTTTGTACTGAAGAAAAAATCTGTAAATAAAAAATCATTATTACCAATAACTAAGTTTCGAGTATGTATATACAATCAAACCTCTTATAAACAATAAACAATTTAATTTAATTTGCACACTTGAATTTTAAGCATTAGACATTAGTGTTGGCAAATGACCAGTTATTTGATTTTAAATAACTAAATGACCAAATGACCAAAATAATGACCAAGTCATTTATCATTTGGTCATTTAAAAGTAGAAGTTACACAAACCTAAATTTGGCGATTTTATTGGCTAGATCTTTATATACTAATTTTATTTATAAGATTAAACTAATTATTATTGTCATAAGTTAACTTTAAATTAAGCTATATGTGGGTACTCTGCTTAAGAGTTTCATGGCATCATATCACGTGTACAAGTATATAAATCCTGAATTAAGCAAACCATCAGAACTAAATTGGATCAACATCCATAATTGCTCCCCAATCAATGATCACAATATGTTAAAGGATATAAAAGAAATCCAGATTAAGTTAATAATTCGGGAGTCAGTTATCATAATACTGATGAAACCATTCTGGAGAAGAATCGCTTTAGCACATATCATGCACTTTTATTTTTATAATTTTTATATTAGATCATTAGGTTATTTCAACTTTCAAATGACCAAATGACCAATGACTAATTCATTTGGTCATTTGGTCATGTTCATTTGAAATTGCCAACACTGGTTAAAATAAGCCAATATGCTGAAGTAGTGCTTATACCCTAGAGTACAATAACCAGTTAACCATTAGGTTATCCAGATACCTGAATTATAAAATTGATAAACAGATAAATTATTGGGTTATCCGGTTAATTTAGAATATAATATAAAATAATAGGGTAAAATATAATTATAAAAAAAATTAATTTGCATATTAGTTTGTCATTGTGTAGTTCTTTTATACAGTATTCATTTTGCATCATGTTCAAGAGAAGTCTAATTTATGTATCAGATTGAAATTCATATCATAAATATAACAAAACAAATTAGGCTAAACAATAAAACATTATATTGTTTGCATATTTTATAATAATATATACGACTTCAATTTAACAATTATAAAGATTTGTTTAGTTTTACACTAAATGGCTGCAAAAAATTTTAATTAATAAATATTATATTATACTGCATTAGCCATGTTTCTATTTTCATTGTTGAATTAAAGTAATATAAAGATTATTTAAATACACATTGAATATTAATATTGCACATGTGAATTATGTAAATTAGATATTTATTAAAATGACTAATATTGGCAAAAAAAAAGATTCTTTATGAAATTTAATATATTGTATAAATATCCATAATCAAAATACTAAATTTTTAACTTTAGAAGGCTATTAAATAGTTTTATAATATGAATTTTTTCATCTTAACACTAACTAGTTAGAATGATTTTTAAAATTGAACTTTCTCATTCTAATACTAATTATAGGAGCTGTTAGAATAATTTTGAATACAAACTTTTTCATACTAACACTAGCTATAAAGAGCTGCTAGAATGATAACTTTCTTATCTGTATATTCTAAAATTAGATAATAAGTTTAATTTGAATTATTCATATCAAATATAAGATGGATAAATACTAGATATTTTTTAATCAAAATATAAATTAAAGAGTAATATAATTTATTCTAGTAAACATAGCTATAGTTAAGTTAGAATAGATATATAAAATACAACTTTTGCATATAAATTATTTTTATATTAATCAATTTTATTTGATTGAGGCTGTTCTCAAGCATCTAAATAAATTGATTAAAGAATGATCATGATGATACTCAAGCATCACAATCAATAGCGATATTTATAGAATTAAATGCTTGAGCATACTTTTTTCTATTTTTCTTGATCTTTGTCATGTCGTCTTAAACATCTAAAAAAATTTAATAAAAAAAACTTCTGTTCAACCAACTTCCAAATCTTCAGCTTTAATTATATCAGCTTTGCCCTTTAATGATTTTAACAATACAGTCGGCCCTCTCAAAACTGGTATGCATGGTGGACAGGTTTAGTATCGGTTTTAAGAGGTAATCAGATTTGACAATATTATATAAAATGTGGACGCATATCAACCAATCAAATTGCAAGATTAAACAATTTCTGGGGCCTAGTCGGAGCAGAAAATGGAATTACTTGTGACCTCAAAGACCTGAGAACCATTTAATCATGTTATATCATGGACAGAAAAATCCTAAAAACAATATTCTAATTACGTAATCGTTGTGAACGAACCCATCTATATCAATTTTATGCGATTTGATTAGATACATGTATATTTAAAATCGAAAATTTATACATAAAGGCTATCAAATATTGAAAATGGCAGATTATCAGTTATTACTTATGGAACAGGTATGGTAGATTGATTTTTAACCGATTTTAGCAGGATATCGGTTTTGACAGAATCAGTTCTGAGAGGGCCGACTATATTAACCTTTTGTTGCAACAGCAGCAACAAGTAAAAAAAATTTATTAAGTTTATATAAGCAAAAAATAGAATAGCAGTATTTATTACAGTTTGGTTAAATATTTATAGATGAGTTGTATTAATTATGCTCATATCAAGGTGTCGATTATTTGTTTTAAAAGCTTTGAGCATTAAAAATAAAGTGGCTATTTTTTTAGACTGGTTTGAAATTTTTTGTGAAATTTGTTGTAAATTCATTGTTTATTATGTTTGATATGTTAAAATGTAAATTAGTGCTTAAGCGATCTTTATCAATGGTAAATTTTTGTTGATTGAATTGGTAACTTACTTGATTAATTGATTTATTTAATTTCCAACTACAGTAATTAAAATTTTATATCCAATCCATTGAGTAGGGTGCTTAAGAATAGCCTGATATATTAATTTATATAAATCAACTAATTACAATATATAAATATTCTATCTAGATATAACCAGAATCCCAGAATCTAGGATATAGGTTATATAGGAACTTTTCAGCAAAACCTCTATAAATTTGGGAAGTAAAAAATCATATTTATGTAAATATTTTATCAACCAGTAGTCCAATTTGGATAAACAATTTTTTTAATGAAAGCCCTCAGTGAGGCGCTTCTTTTTAAAAAAAGTTTATTCAATTCTAATTACTGGATCTGAAGATATTTAAGAAAAGTAAAATTCTAATTTTTAGCAAATTAGACCAAATCGGCCAAAATCCAAATATGACCTATATTAGAGATGCCTGGGTCCTATATAACCATTATCCTTTTATCTAAATAGAATACAAAACTGGTTATTGGATTTTGTTAAAGGTTATAACCTTTTGAGTAAAGAGTTATTCGGATACGAGCACTATACTGAAGATTATTGGAAAATAGAATGTATATACAAAAAATAACATTCAAATATTATTAAGATGATTGGTTGATCTTTAGTAGAGGTGGCCACTATAGAAATAATATAATATTATAATATATAAACATAGTATTTAAACTAATTTAAGCAAATTTGAGATTAGTTAAGGTTAGAGTAAAGGTTATAGTAAAGTTTATAGTTAGCTTTAGGGTTAGGGTTAGAGTTTTTTTATATTATAATCTTATAATATTTCTATATTGGCTACCTATACTAAAGGAGATCCAGATGATTTGTTTATCATTTAGAAGATATAAACTGATATGAACAAGATTTTTAATGATAATATAATGATAAGATAAATAATTAGCCAATATAGTGAAGGCTAATTTGTAAAAAAAGTTAATCTATTTTATACAATATATATATGTTAAATAAATTTTCTAAGTATTATCTTTATATATAATTGTGCAATATGTTACTTATTTTAAATGATATTTTGATGATAATTATTTATTTACTTATAATTGGTCAGTTGTTTTTAAAAGATAAAAGGTTGATACATTTTGTCTGGTTTATACTATATACAACATATTGGCTAAATAATATTATAAAAATATTAGACTATAGTTTACTGTTTAATATATCATTGACTAATATGATCATCATATGGGCTTGGTGCTACAGAAAAGGGGGAAATCGACAAATTTTCAAATTTTTTTTTTTTACACAACTCAATTTAGAATAATGTTAGGATCATTTTTTACTTAAAACATGAAAGAAGTTATATTAATAAAATTTTGTAGTATAGCTCTTTAAAGTTTGTATTTTCTTATGATTTATTATAAAATTTATAACATAAAAATTGATCTTCCGAAGATCTATTGTTTTGTCGATTTCCCCCTTTTCTGTAGCACCAAGCCCATATAATCTTATTTTATATTTGTAAATTTATTATTTTCAAATAAAATTTTAAAAACTTAAAAAGATTACTATGTAATTAATATTTAATTATTTCTTTTTTGACTTTTTTTTTGTTTTACTTTCACCACCCTTTCCTCCTTTTCTCTTCCTACTTTCACTTACCCTTCTTCTACTCTCACTTTCACTCTTTCTTCTTTTACTCTCATTTTCACTATTATTACTCTTACCATCATTGCCACCAATTCTTGTTGTATCTAACTCATTATTAGATTTTTGTAAAGAGATTTCCATTGGGATGTCTCTACTGCCTCTTGAAATAATGGCTATTCTTGCTGTTGTTGTTTCAGTTGGTGTTGTTGCTGCTGTTTTTGATATTGTTGCAGTTGTTGTTTCTGTTGTTGTTTTTGCTAGTTTTGCTGCTGGTATTGCTGTTTTTTTGTCAGCAGATTGAATAGTTTTAGGAGGGCTAGGTAGAGGTAATTCTTCCTCTTCTTTTTTTTCTTCTTCTTTTTCTTCTCCTTCTTCTCCATTCTTTCTTCTTTTTCTTCTTGTATATAATACATTTGTATTGTTATTACCACCTTTTCTTTTAATTTCTACATAACTTTGCTCAGCACCTAACTCACAACTAATTTCTGTATGACTTTGCTTAGTATCTGACTCACAACTAATTTCCATATGAGTTTGCTTGGCACCTGAAACTCTGCTCTTATGACTATGTTTTTGTTCATGTCTGTCTTTTTTATTACTTTTTTTATCTAGTGCTCTCTATTAAGCCAGCTCAAATAGGCTCATAGAAATTTTGTTTGGCTCGTTTTTAGCTTAAAAGGCTTGTGAGTCTTAGTACTGATCATGTGACATTTATTATGTAATAAATAGTTACATGATTTGCACTAAGGCTCGCGAGCCTTTCAAGCCAAAAACAAGTCAGCTCAATGGAGAGCACTATTTTTATCTTATGTGGATCTTTGTCTTTAGTATCAAAGTCTGCATCAAATTTGTATTCTGAAAATTTGTATCTAGTTATAGCTTTATTAGATAAAGCCTATCCTAGACAATTTGGTGATAGTATTCTAATATTATCTATATCTTCTTTATAATAGCGTAAGTGTATTCAGTTATTTTTGGGCTACAGTTATTTCAAAAACAGGTCTATATGCTTTTGTAAAAGCCATTTTAACTAAATAGTATTAGGCTAATAGGCTTATTAATATATTATATATATATAAATAAAAAAATTATATATATATGAGGTCCTTGCCACTATTTATTAATACAAACTAACTTCTTAACCATCTCACTATCTTTTAATACTTCTTCATCTGTTCACTACTCTTCATCTGGTTGATATACATTTTCTTCTTACTCTAAGTTATCAACTTCAAATCCACCTTATTATATTTTTCAGTTGTTTATTTTCAGATCTTAGAAAAAATAATACTGATTTTTGTCTTCTTTTTCTCTTCTAAATTATTAAAAATAATTTAAATTAGAATATATTTCTCTGAATGTTATTTTATCTACAAATCATTTAGCTGATATTATGTGATTTATAAATGAAATAACTTTGAAGAATTGATTTAAAAAAATAATTAACAACCCAAATTTTATGTTATGCTTATCTCATTCATTTTACTATTTTTGCTCATTCTTTCTTAATTATGTTTTTTTTAATAACCGATTGGCATTAATTGTAGCCATTCTTTGTTGGGTTTTATGATGCTGTTTTAATATTTTTTTGATTGCTGCAGCATTTTGCTAATAGGTAGGCAATTTTTTAATTATCTTTGAAATAAGTTTATGCCAAATATTATATGCTTGATTTCTCTATATTTTACTTGGATCTAGCTTGAGGTCAGCCAAAGTACCACCTTCCACCAACACTCTAATTTTGTTCTTTTATTAATAATAATTATAAAAAAAGTCAATTAAACAAATATTTTAAGCTGATATAATAAAATATATTTACTCTTAGTATATCCTTTTTCTCATTATCAATACTGTTAGTACATCTTTACTTGAGCTGCTACTACTGCTGCTAGACCTGCTAAAACTTTTACTTTTACTTCTACTAACTGATTTACGTTATTACTATAGTTCCTACTGCCCACCTTACTTTTCTTACTATCTCTCCTTCTAACTAATCTTCCTCTATTTTCTTTTTTATTCTTACTACTTGAGCTACTTGAATCTGAAGATAATGCCAACAGCTCTTTCCTTCTTTTCCCCTTATCAAATACAGAAGTGATGGCTTTTGCAACTGTTGTAACAATAAGATCAATATTCATTAATAATATATTAATTTAATATTAATGCTTAATAAATTACAATTATTGTCATTGTATAAATATTCTTAGACTTTTGTGCCTTTTTGCTACTTCCAACATTTGGTAACTTTTTTTCTTTACTTATTTGGTAATTGAAATGAAATATTGACAAAAATTGACAAAATTCTTATGATACTATCCTTTATAAATATCTTATCTATATCACCCAAATATCATAAATTAAAAAATACTTTATTAGGAAGATATGCATAAGAACTTATCAATTATCTGATTAGGTTTATAACTTAACATTATGTGATTTTGGCAATTTTTCATTATTAAATATGTAGGGTAAAAATATAACAACAAAAAAAGCATATTAATATTACTTTAATATTATTAATTAATTACTAATTATATTAAAAATAATATACTTTTTGCATAAAAGATATATAGACAAACATCTCAATTATCAGATTTAGTAGTTATGTGATTTTAGTGATTTTTATTATTAAATATGTAAGATAAAAATATAATATTAAAAAATCATATTACAGTCAGACCTCTCTAAATGCATCCTCCCTAAATATATAACCTCTCTAAATGCATATTAATTATCTGGCCTATCAATAGGCTTAATAGATAAATACATATTCTTTATTCTGCATATGCATCTTATTTTCCTGGTTCATCTATATAAATCCCTCTATAAATGCATATCACGTGATTATTAGCCAATCAAAACAAGATTATATAATTACATACAAGATAATTTTAATATGTAACTTATTGTCCGGAGCGTAGTGGAGGACCTAATGGGGAAGTGATTTTGTGTGTAATTATGTCTGCACCTATTTTTAGATCAACTGATCGTTGATTTGACCAATCGAAAAAATACTCTAGAATACTTTTAAATATTTTTTTAGATATTTGTAAAAATGAGTGATGCAGATATGACAAATAAACTTTTCTATACTAGGAACTGGAAACTAGTAAAAGTCTGGAGCATAAAAGTGCATATAGCTGTATAGTACTTCGTAAAAGGAAGCAGTACAAATCGAAATATTC